ACATCCCGCTGCTGGCGCCGGCACGGCGGGTTCCCGGCCTTCGTTGGCGACACTGAGGGCCGCTTTCTCCCCATCCAGCGCCGGACGCGGGTTTCCTTTCTCCCTACGCTTCCTTTCCCATTCTTCTTTTTTTTTTTTTTATTTATTTAAAAAAAAAAAAGAAACTGTTCCTAAGTAGAAAACATCTGCGATTGCAAGTCAGTCTTTTTTGGCTATTGTTTTTCTTCTTCCTCCTCCTCCTCCTCCTCCTCCTCATCATCTCTTCAAATGACTTCTCACGAGGCAACAGGCACGGGTGGCTTTGTCTGCATGGTTCCCCCTCCCTCCCCTGCGCATCCCTCGTGCCCCCCTGTCCCCAAGGGCCCCTAGTCCTTGACCAACTTGTAGACGTGGTGCTGGGCGCCGTGCTCGCTGGTGGAGACCTCGAAAACGAAGGCTATGCAGAGCAAGGTTTCCTGGGTATCCCTGTTGGTAACAACCTGCGGCAGAGCAGAGAGAGCGCGTGAGGAGGGGGCTGAGATTTGAGGGGGTTGCACAGGCTCAGGCACAGACATTTAAATTGCCGACCTTTTAATCGCCCCGTGAAAAATTTTCTACCTTTTTTTTTTTTTTTCCACTCGATGGGTGCAGGTACAGCCACTTTATTTGCACCACCGAAAATTTGCTATCTTTTTTTTTTTTTTTTGGTGGGGGAGGAGGGGAAGCGTTGCACAGGCTCAGGGACTCAGCCACTTTATTTGCACCATCAGGATTTGCCCCTTGTAATTCAGGGGGCTGCACCGGCTCAGGCACAGAGGCTTTAATCGCACCACCAAAAATTTGCTACCCAGTTTTTGAGGGGTTGCATGGACTCAGGCACAGCCAATTTAATTGCACCATCAAAAATTTGCTACCTGTTATTTGGGGGGATTGCACAGGCTCAGGAACAGCCACTTTATTTGCACCATCAAGATTTGCCCACTGTAATTCAGGGGGGTAATCACGGGCTCAGGCACAGCCAATTTAATAGCACCATGAAAAATTTGCTACCCGTTATTCGGGGGGTTGCATGGGCTCAGGCACAGCCACTTTATCTGCATCACCAAAAATCTGCTCCCCATTTTTTGGGGGGTTCCATGGGCCGAGGCACTGCCGAGGCCGGGTGCCCCGGGACGGGGCAAGAGCGCAGCAGGGACGGTAGGGTCAATGCAAGCGTGGACACCACGCTCCTGGTGGGACGCGCTGCCTGGAAAAGGCGGGGAGGTACCTGCAGGATGGTGAAATTCTCCAGGACGCTGTTCATCATGTACTTCTCCGGGAGGTGCTTGAGTTTGTGGATGAAGTTGATCATGTACTCGCACATGGGGGACCGGTGGATGCGGTAGATGAACCGGCCGTTCTCCAGCCGCGCGTACTCCGTCTGCGGGGGACAGCAGGGTGAGTGGGAGCCCCACGGGAGCCAAAACGCCATGGCCGACGTAGGTACGAAGTGCGGTGGTGGCCAACTGGGACATGGTGGAGATGTCCTCTCCGCTCCACCCATGGGACAGGCATCCACCCCCGTGTCCTACACCCAGCCCTGGGGCTTTCTCCATCCCGAGACCCACAGCACATCCAATTCCCACCCCTTCCCAACGCAGCCGGGGCGTGGGACTCACCTCCACCTTCTCCACGACCTGCTTCCCAAAGGAGCACACCTTGGTGGAGACCGTGATGGTCATGTTCTCTGCACTGCTATACTGGCTGCTGACACCGTAGAAGGTCCCCGGCCCGTCCTGGATAGTGCTGTTCAGATCCGCCTGGAAAAAGGAGAACGAGAGGGTCCCATTAGGTGCCATCACACCCCGTTCTCGATGGCGATGGGGAACACCGCCTTATGGAGCTGCTCAGGCTGCTCCCGCTCCGCTGGAGGGGTCCCCAACCCGCGACGTGCCTGTGGCCCAAGGACAACCCTCCTCCCTCCCAGCATCGTACCCAAAATTTGACGAGGAAGAAGGAGTTCTGGGGCCCACGCTCATAGAGCTCCTTGAGGCCACCTTTCTTCTCGGGGAACTTGTCATAGATCTGGCGGATGTCCACGGCCTCCAGCAGCGGATCGCTGTACGAGGGGTTCGTCTGGCCGATGTGCACGAAGAGGTGTTTGCTGTACTGTAAGGACCGGGGCGGGGAAATGAAAACGGAGAGGTCAGATGAAAGCGAGTGGCCACCAAGCAGAGGGATGGGCACTGTCCCACCTGGGTGGTGGGGCCACGGAGGGGACCGTTACCGTTTCGGCATCCCGCGGCACCTCCATGAAGGCGGAGTACTCGAGGAGCCGGAGCTTGGAGGAGGCGATGGTGCGGTCCTGCCAGACGGGCACGGCCGAGGCGGCTGGCGGGAGCGGAGCCAAGGGCTCGTAACCTGGGCACGGGGGGCAACCATGAGCCAGGGGGACCCCCCTCCCTGCACCGCCACGGCGCTGCTGTCCTCACCGCACCCCCCCACCCTCCCGTATCTCCCAGCACGGGGCCGGGGTTTTCCACGGGGTGGCCAAGACATGGGATGTGCCGGTCCCGCTTCGGGGTGGAAAAGGACGGGGGGACGGGACACAGCCGGGAGCAGCGGGGTCCTGCTCACCGTGGGGAGTTTGGCTGGGTTTAAAGCCAAATTTTTGCCCCGGTAGGGCCGGGGAGGGGACAGCAGGTGGGTGGCACTCGCGGGTGGGAGGGTGGCATGGGACAGGGTCCCCTGCAAGGGGGGCGAGGACGGCACTTACTGGCTAGTGATGGAGGCATGGGTGGCTGGATGGGGTAAGCTGGTTGTGCAAACGGTTTAATGCTGGAAAACAAAGAGCATCGTTAGGTTAACGAAGCCCAGGTTGTCCCGGCCCCTTGCCAAGGGGGTCCCATGCACAGCACGGGG